AATAAATGCAGCCTTGGTGAGCATAAGAGACTTCTTTCAAAAACTTTCACAAAAAAATATTTGAACCATTCATGAACATTTGACCTGTGATCGTTTCATTGTTTTCAGCTGTATTTTCTTCCACTTTTATCAGTGAAACTGAATGACCTTATCAAATCAACTTCGTTCCCTAAGGAAGTATTTTGACCGTTCAGAGCTAGACATATTAAAGCAGACTCCAAATGTGCTCTCTGCGCTTATCTCAGAAACACACACCACACCCGTTTTATCCTGACATGACTAGAGTGATAAAACCAGTCACTCTTGCCTTATTTATAACAGAAGAACCAGGCCTGTTTTTCATCAGCTTTTCCACAGCAATTAAGGTTAAGGTTGTTTGTTTAAAATGCACTGAGACCCATGTAATACATGTACTGCTCAAGCCTCAGCTATTGCAGTTCAACAAGAACACGCAGCTGTGTGATTTTTTTGCGTTATAACATTAATATATTAAAATGTGCATTCATTATAAGTACATAAACTTTTATATGACCACATAAGCAAATGTTTCGCTTACATTAGTGATGTGTTTTATTGGAAATGACTCGTTAGTGACATCAGGTGACAGATCATAGAAACCGTAAGGCCTGCATGTTAAAGAATTCTAATATATTTCACCTGTCAGACATTTATTATCCATGGTTTGCAATACATTTATCTGCTCCTTTATATCTCTGCTACCGCCTAAAATACCTCCTCCAGTCTCTACGGTACCGAGTACTTTACACATCGCTGAGCAATCATGAAATGATACAGCAGTGTTCTGCTTAACTCAGCAGAACAAATGCCGCTTAGACAGGCATATTTCTTTACTGTAAGCCATTAAAGTAGTCTACATTTTGTTCTGTGTGACAAGCCATAGGTTTTATCTTCTAGACAATGCTGTAGGCGTGACAGGCTTTCTGTAGCCAACTTGAGCTGGGATAATAAATGTCATGGTCACAGTCATTGTATTTTAAAAATCTTATAGCTTCAAGTCATCTTAAAATAATGAAATTAGTCAAACGTTGCTCTTATCTGTGCGCGCTCGGTTTTGTCACACTGCCCATTCCTCTGCAAAACTCAGCAGAAAATGATCTTAATTCAATATTAATTAAACCGAGCTGATGTTAAATATAGAAATGCCAATTAAGGAATAATTCACATATTTCAATAACATCATTATTCTGAAGCAGAAGTCGCAAGATTTCGATTAAGGGGAAAAAAAGTTAATTTGAAGTAAAAGTGGATTGTTCAGGAGACCCTTATTTAAAAAAAAAAAATAATAATTTTTTTACTCCCTTGAGATTTTTGATACAAATGTTAAAACTCATTCGATTTTGCAGAAAGCGTTACATGACCAGAACACCAGGATATGATTTTATTTTCTTTGCACTGACTTGAAATATTTTCCCGCCCGTACTTAAATAATTACTTAGAAAAATAACGGAACAAATATACATATTTCTATTCTTTCTTCTGAGAGACCACTCAGCTATTTTTTATAAAGGTGCTGTACATTATTTAAACATTTACATGAATCAGACCACGTTATACTGAGCCCATATGTATTTAGTCTAATATGAGGTGATTCTAGACCTCACTTTTAAATATGAACAATGAAGATGAGTTACGTATGTACAGCAGATGCTAACATTGCTTTCATGACATGTCTTTACATTTTGTTGAATTTAAACAGTTTTCAATGTCTGTCATAGCACAAAAACACAATGTCGCACCACAGCTTATCGTGAACAATAATCTTGTCTTTGTAATTAGTTTGCGTTCTCATAATTTACTGTATGTTAAAGCTGTGTCACAGCTGTTAGTTACACATCCAAACCCTGAGGTCATAATCACGTCACACACAGCATATGGAACGGCCACCAGTCCTTTGGTATTGATAGATCATATCACTTCCTATGAAATCACACCTTACATGTTTATCTTGGCCACATTTCAGACCTCAAAACCCCCCAAAAATAGCCCTTTCACAAACCTCTCACAACCGATCAAGTGTTGCAAGCATGGAAAAAATTAGCTGATGATCTTAAAATAGATAGTTTGATAGAAGACATTATACCCGCAACATTCCTGTTTTTAGGAGGGATCATTTTTCTCTACTTTATAATCTGTATTTAACAGACTGAATCATTAAACATTAGGGTGAATATCACAGAAAACTGTCTAGATCATATTTCACCTCCAAAATCAAAATTTGCATAAAGACAATGAAGCCTAATGAAGTCTATTTGTAGGATTTTTATGATTTGTTTCATTGTGACAGTATGCATGAATTTTCTCTCCCCTAAAAATTCTCTGTAATTGATTCAGAAGGTTTGCTTTTCACTGCAGTCATATTTATGACATACTCGTTACTTTTGTGCAACATAAATATTACATTATTTTAATATTAAATGTATTAAGTTTAAATTAAACCTAATGCAAAAAATACAGTAATTTGAAGAGTAAACGTGCTTAATTGTCATAAAAATAATGTCATATTAAAAAAATAATAATAATAATAATAATAATAAAGCAGGCTTTATTTTCTTAAAGGAATAGTTCACCCAAAATCACTTGCTCACTAATGGATCCTCTGCAGTGAATGGGTGCCGTCAGAATGAGAATCCAAACAGGTGATAAAAACGTCATAATAACCCACACGTAATCCACACCACTCCGGTCCATCAATTTACATTATGAAGCAAAAAGATGTGCGTTTATAAGAAACAAATTCATCAAGACGTTTTTTTACGTGATATTGCTTTCTCCAGTGAAAAAAAGTTATTGTGTGAATCAGGAGGGAAAGATGCAAAGATTAAACACAGTTTACAAGCCAAAACTGTCCAAAACAAATATGTCAGTATTTTGGCCAGAAGCGATGGATTTGTTTATTACAGACACACAGTTTTTCACTTCACAAGACAATAATTGATGTACTTAAGTCATGTGGATTATTGTGAGGTTTTTGTCAGCAGTCTGGACTCTCATTCTGACGGCACCCATTATTCTTTGTTGGCCGTTTTTTGGGTGAACTATTCCTTTAATGCAAAATATTTTCTTTTAAATTTGAGATCAAATATGACCCCTTGACAACCTTCATGAGGTTCACCCATGCGCATTGGCTTCTAATGGTCATAAACCAAAGCTTTACTGCTGTAAAGTACAGTATAACCTCATAACCGAGGGGATGAATTGCTTGCACTGCTTGCCTTCATCTCGAGCAGACTGGACATGCATGTCCAGGAAAAAAATAAATATTTTCCCATATTTAAAAATACATTTGCATGTACCATTTGTTTTGTGACAAGTCAAAACAGTTGCTACAAGGTAAAACTACCAGGGTGCTTAGCAAGAGCCTGGACCTCTACACCTCTACACCGAAATCAATGTCACAATCTGTTATAGCTACATGTATCTATTCATATACATATTTCAATAAATAAACATTTGATCATGTTCTTGGTATATTAAAGCACAAGTTTCTGGTCATTTGCAATTATAATATTTGGAGATCAGGGAATCAAAGACATGGAAGAGAGAACAGTCTGAAAAGTCTCTGGTAAAGCCCCCAATCTTCAAGACAGTTCTTATTTACACCATTTGAAAATGTTAGAGATAAACTGCACGGGTCTAAAACGCATGCAACAAAACAAGGAGTTTGCATGCAGGGGGAAAAAAATGATTCTTTGGGGTAAAGACGTGCTGTTTTTAACCGAAACATAAACTTGCATTGTTGTTTTTGGTGATTAATGGGGCGTGCTCCTTTAAATTGCATAAGGAAGGATTGCACTGTGATGTTGACGGAGTCCTCATGTTGTTTAATGTCAGCTGGCAAGAAGCAAATTAAAAGAGGCTGTCCGGACAAAACGGAGTTCCATGTGTTTGACCACAAAGCCTCAGAAATTGCCTGTCCAAGACGATTAAGCAATGATCTCCATAAAGCAGTTTAGATTAAACTCCATATCGAATCAGTCTGTTTGTGAGACTGCTTATTACAAACTTTTTTAAATAATTTGAATGAGAAGTTCATGCTGACTACTGTCCAAAGAGAAGCACATGAACATGGTTCACATGATACGCTCTGAAGCCACATGGAGAAAAACAAGGTGCAAGGCCAAAAACATACTCTTGGAAAGTATGTAAACAAGCATGTGAATGCTTGGTCTATGCACTGGAGATACATGATTTGTGTTATTGTAGCGGTTTCAAACCTCTCTATTCAAACGGGCGATAAAGTTAAGACCTTGAGATGTCTGTGCCTCTAAGCTGTCGACTTGTTTATAGCTACCCATCTAAGTAATAAACAACCTGGTTTAAAGTTGCCGTGAAATAAAAATGCACCCTATTTACTTTCTAAATGCATATTTTTGAGCTTACTGTGAACAATTAATCCATTTTGTTGCACTGTAGAAGAAGATATTCTGAAGAAATTTGGTAACCAAACCGTTTCAGGTCCCATTGACTTCCATAGTGTTTGTTGTCCATACTATGGAAGTCAATGGGACCCAAAACGGTTTAGGGTATAAAAGATAATATTTCAAAGAAATCTGGCAACCAAACAGTTTTGGGTCTCATCGACTTCCATAGTATGGACAACAAACACTATAGAACTTAATTCTCTCTTGGAAAGTATGTAAACAAGCATGTGAATGCTTGGTCTATGCACTGGAGATACATGATTTGTGTTATTGTAGCGGTTTCAAACCTCTCTATTCAAACGGGCGATAAAGTTAAGACCTTGAGATGTCTGTGCCTCTAAGCTGTCGACTTGTTTATAGCTACCCATCTAAGTAATAAACAACCTGGTTTAAAGTTGCCGTGAAATAAAAATGCACCCTATTTACTTTCTAAATGCATATTTTTGAGCTTACTGTGAACAATTAATCCATTTTGTTGCACTGTAGAAGAAGATATTCTGAAGAAATTTGGTAACCAAACCGTTTCAGGTCCCATTGACTTCCATAGTATTTGTTGTCCATACTATGGAAGTCAATGGGACCCAAAACGGTTTAGGGTATAAAAGATAATATTTCAAAGAAATCTGGCAACCAAACAGTTTTGGGTCTCATCGATTTCATAGTATGGACAACAAACACTATAGAACTTAATTCTACAAAATATCTTCTTTTGTGCTCCACAGAAGAAAAAAAGGTTTGGAACAACATGAGGCTTATTTGCAAGCCACAATTCACAAGTAACAGACTTTTTTTATTTTTGAGTTTATGCAGTAGAATGTATTATATGCTGTATCAATTTTTCCATAAATTTTATATTATTAAACTCAACATCAGATTTTTTTTTCAGTATAAGGAACATGTTAGGAGAAGTTTGGCTAGGCAATGTTCCACACAAGTGCAAATGCTTGAAACACTGACCTGCTGTACATAGATGCATAAAGAAATCTCAATCAGCCCCTTGAGTACTTTGACTACCTCTTGAAGATGCTTAGTCTTGTACTCTAGTTTTCTTCAAATGTCTGTGCCAATAAACCAGATGTGATGTTATTTAGGTAGCTAGCTATAAACATGTCGATAGTTTAACTAACTCGCGATATTCCCACGATAGTGCTGAAATGTTGAGAATGCAACTTGCAATCCATGATGAACTGTGTGAAATCACAGCTAGAAGCATTTGCATTCACGTACTTGTGTATGTTTCTGGCCTTAAACCTTCTATTCCCAAGGATCGCCAAACTATTCGCAAACATCTCGCATCACTTCCTCGTGCGTGAGGATACGTGCAAAACTAGGGATCTTCCAAAGGCCGTCGCTCAAGGGTCCAGGGTGGTCAAAGACTAGACTCGCCCTGGTGGTGACTGGAGCCACATCTGTGGTGACAATGTCATATTTCTTGTCTTTGCTCTCATTTCCTTTTCTTTTGCTTTCATTCTTATCTGTAATCATTTCCTTCCTGTTTTCTTCTGTTTGATCCCCCTTATCCTTTGTTTGTCTGCTCTTCTTGTCTCCCTCTCTGCTCGATATGTGGGTGTCCTCATTTTGCATGTCTCTATCTCTCTGTTTTTTCTTCTTTCGGGTGCTTTTGAGCTCCATTTCCCCTTTTGGCTCAAGCATTTCATCCTCTCCTTTGTTTCTCACTTTTCTCTCAGCTCTCCACCTCTCCTCCCCTTCTTGGGTCTCATTTAGTTTCCTTCCTCTAGATTCCTGTTTTTTCCTTCTTTCAGCGTCACTTTTCTTCTGGTCCAAGCTCGCCGTCCCCTTCACACGACGTTCCTTTTTCCGTCCCTGCGCTTCGCCAATTACTTCTTCCTGTCCTTCATGCTTTGACTTCTGGGGACTGACTGAGCGACTATGTTGGCAAGACTTTCTGTTCTTGTGGGAGTCTCGAGTGCTTTGTTGCAGATTTTCTTTGTGGCTGCAAGCTTTGTCTTTGGATGGGCTTTTGGATTTCTCTGTATCTCCGAGATCAAGGAGATTCTCAGCGGACCGACTCTTGATGCGCCGTTGCTGCGGGACTCTGGAAGAGCTGGCGTTTGGTGGTTTGGCACGCTTCTCCCTCTTGCTGTCTTTAGAGTGAGGATCCTCGCAGGCCAGATCCAAGGAGTCGCGAGAACGGGCAAAGTAGCTTGTCAGGTCTGACATTTCCTTCTTCGCTGAGGTGGATGGCGGATGAAGGAGAGGAGAACTGAGAGGAATGTTGGAAGTGTTGGATCCCGGCGGATTAGGAAGGATAACATCTCCTGCAGAACATAAGGGCGAAAAGATGTGCATTGGTTCCACTGCCTAGAATTAAAATACTATGACTAATTAAGGTCTTATAAAAATGTACCATGGTAACCAATTATATTTGAGTGGTATTTGCCTGTTTCGTGACTGGTTGCTAATGAATTGCTATGTAAATGCATTGCCCTGCTATATTTTTGAGTGAAACCATTTTTCACGGTGTTGTGATTGCAAAGAGCATGAACATATTTCACAGATCCAAAAATGTACACAATAAAGCAGAGAAAAGACTAGCATTTAAGGAGCAAAGAAAGTCTAGTAAAAGTCCCATTACCAAAGAATAAAAGACCTAGAGGAAAAGAGGCTGTTAGTGATGATGCTCCTGGGGGCAGTAACACACCGCAGAGGAGCTTACACAACCTGCAAAGAAGAGAACGAGAGAACGAGAGAAAGAAAGAAAGCTGAAGTTAGCAAGCAACCCATGTTGTCTTGATTGTCTTACAGCATGCTTACGTATATAGCAGCATCATCGTGTGTTTGTGTGTTATAACTCACTGTTCTCTGATAAGAGGGCTTGCGGTCGCAGTAACAGTAGCACTTTGTTTCCTCCAGCTTGGATCAGCTCAATGGCTCTGGTGTGACTAATGTCTTGCGTCTGTTCTCCATTGATCTCCACTACCTGATCTCCTACCTGCACATTCAGGCATAAGATCATTTATGTGTTTTATCATTATTGAAATATCTTAGTGGTCTCTGGTTCAGGCCATAAGAGGTGATGAGTTTAGTTAAAGACCAAAATATCTTGCTTTTCATGTATCAGCATCCGCCAATGAAAAACCCATATCAATTGACTGCAGACAAGAAGGTGATGACTGATATGGCCTTGAAAGTCCATTAACATTTGCATTTAAAGGGATCATAAACTGAGAAATCAAAATTCCCTTGATATTTTGGTATATAAGAGGTCATTGTGCTATAAAAACAATCTGTAAGTTTCAACTCTCATTAGTCTAAAAACAGCTTATATTAAAGTCAATAAGTCAAAACGACAGTTTGTGGAATGTGCCACTTTATGATGTGATAGTGTGGCTAAACACTGCCTCCGCAGAAGAAGATCAACACCTGCTTCTACATTGCTGTCTGTTTAGCCCTGCCCACCGATTCACACATGTAGTGTTTATGAGAGAGGCAAACGCGCAGGTCTATGTAGAAACCAAAAAATAAAGTTTATTTGATGAACTTTATTTCTAATGATGTGCCAGTAAGAACTTGGTCCTTTTTTCCCTTGATTTTACAGCGGATGCATTTACAAACGAGGCAAAATCAGGATATTCAGAAAGCTTGAAACTGAAAGACGGTGCTATGCTGACTATATTGAACCTGATGTCGCGCCACACAAGTGTAACTGTTTTCATTACGTGATCACTTTTGCTTTGTCTGTCATTACAGATGATTTTATATGTACTGAGTATTTATGCATTTTTAAACCAAAACACAGCAGCGTCCATCTGTAAACGATGTAGGCTGTCAAACATATACAACTGTTAGCCAATCATAGCAGTGAACTTTTACTTCCAAGTCTACAATCCGCTATGTCTATTCAAACAGAGTGTTCAGATGAGGGGGGTCAAAACAGGACAGAAAATAGCCTTTTACCTCTAAATTGTACAAATGTTTTTGATGTAAAAGCCTTGATAACATTATAAGTGGACCTCAGAAAACAGTACAAAATAATAAAAAGGCAGTTCATGCCTTTAATTCTTCTGGCAAACATTTTCATCCAAATCAAACCACATTCCATTCAAGCTATATATTTGTTCATGTATTTCCTGGGAATCAAACCCATGAAAAGGACATCCTATTTTGAAATATTTAGAGTATAAAAAGGTATAGTATTCAGCTTCCCTTAAATCTTTTACTACATTTAAATGCACTCCGCAGATGTTTCCCTAAAATCACTGCAGAAGATGGAAAAAAGTCAGCAGATTCCATCCGCAATATGTGAGTTATTAAAGAGTGGTGTGCTGTACTGACGAGTATCCTGCCGTCCTGTAGAGCAGGGCCGTCCTCAGCCAGTCGCAGGATGTAGAGGCCCATGTTATACTCCGTTCCTCCTCTCAGACTGAAGCCAAAACCACGAGGTCCACGCTCCAACTCTACCGCAATACAGCCCTAGGTAGAAAATGTAGATATACACCACTGTTCAACAGTTATGGGTCATGTTTTTTTTTCTTTAAAGAAGTCTCCTATGCTCAACTAGGCTGCATTTATTTGAACAAAAATGCAAGAAAAAATTCTGAAATGACAATTTAAAATAAGTTTTCCATTTTAATATATATTCAAAATTTGATTTATTTCTGTGATGGCATGAAGAAATTAATTATAATCCTTGACTAGATTTTGTGATGTGATTTTCCATTGTAGTTTTTAGTCTTGGCTTAAATACCTAGAATGATCGCATAATTTTTTTATGCAATGTTGAAATATTCCATTATACATTACCGTAGACATGTTCTCTAGTTAAATTTTAAGCACAGTTCATGATGTAAGTGTGACTCTTGCCTGTTTGGAGCTAGCGACACACAGCGTTCCCTGTTCACTCATGGGAAGAGCTTTATACTCTGTCCGTACGAGCTCATCCCTGATCTCATCCATATCCAAATTATATCTGCGCATAAGTAACACAAAAAGTATATGTATATGGCTGAATTTACATTAATTTACAACAAATAGACAGAAGGAATGAGCACATTTAAAGTGGTTTAAATACATAACAGTGGACTGCACCTCTCATCCTGAGTGGATTTGAGAATCTTGTGCTGCGGTGCTGGACTTTGTTTGGCCGAACTGGCTCCTGAGGGTGGGCCTTTGTACTCTAAACAGCCAATAAAAACAGATTGTCATATGAAGTGATAAACATCAAGTGTTAAAGCCCTTATGAAACAGCATTTGCAACACTTCTGTAATATTAATGATGAATGTTTCACAATAAGATCAGGAAGATTTGAACTGCAAAAGCCTGTGCCACTTAATGCTGTTTTGTTGTATCAAATTCATGCATGCAAGCTAACATGTATTAAACATGACAAATGAACAGTGTATAGTCATGATTTGTAGTTGAAATAGGCTAATAATTGGTCTAAACGCCCTTTATAAAGCATTCAATTTAAATATGCATGCATAATTGATATAAAATTTCACTGAGGTTATTAGCCTTGCAATTTAAGCTACATTATTGCCTTAGTGTGACAAATCAAAGCATGAGGCACAGGTTGAGAAAGCATGAATATGTGCTGCGGCAGTATTTATGTGACATTTCATTATCTCACTCACCGTCCTCAGGAACCACGGTGAGTGTGACGGAGTTCCCCGCGTCTTTGATAAGCTGAACAATGTCATTGTGAGAGAGCTCTACAATGGATTGGCTGTTCACAGCGGAAATGCGGTCACCCACGTTCAGCAGTCCGCAGCGGTCAGTCGGACTGCTCTCGATTATTCGACCGATCTTATGAGGAATCACTGTAACACACACTTAGGCAAATCACTTAGCAGAATTGAAATGGCTTGTGCTGTATTTATAATCATAAGAAATTAATCATAAGAAATGTAACAATTCTGGGGTCGTGTAAAACTAAAACAGCTGGATGGAACGGAATGGAACGGAACAGGGGCCTCAAGGCACTTTTTAAATTTAAACTACTGTATTTTACATGACATCTTAAAATCTAAATAAATGAACATGCAACGCTGATGACGTAATATGCTCAATGAATAGTGCAAGTTGTGATGCAAACACCACTGACTACCATTTACACACAGTATATATGACTATAGTGGACGAAAATAAAGAAACAACTTTCACTGTGCAAAAGTACAATTGCATGGTATTTTTATTTGTAGTAGATTTAGCATGAAATCAATGTTTTTCAAATACATTTTAGTATATGTATTTTTCACTAGGGTCTTGATTCCCAGTTCTAATGATATCTAATTTTTTGTTCTTGTTTATTTGCCGAATGACTCCGGCTGGTACATCAATGAATCTGCTGTTACCTCCAGGAGGCGGTTTGCTCTTCGATGTGAGAATGACAAAGCCAAAGCCCTCGTTATCTTTACGATGGAGCGTGATATCAAACGACCCCTGGTCCTTGATGCTTGGCACCTGGATATGTGGAAGCCGAGGTGAGCCATTCACAAGGGTCAATGCTCCGCTCCCAACATCCTCCAGGGCATCTATAGAGCAGAAGATTACACAGACTGACCTTTAATGAACGCTTTTCAGTCAGTTAATTACACTCCAGCGCTGGTTTTATGTCTAAGGCCTGTCAGTCTACAGCGCTCACCTTTGTAAATGACCTTCCTGCGTACTGAAAGCAGCACTTGTCCATTGCGTGCTGCGTTAGTCATCAGATCCAGAACTTGTTTGTGAGATTTCCCCTTCACAGTGATGCCATCGATACCAACGAGCTCGTCTCCGGCCCTCAGACGGCCTTCCTTCTCTGCCGCCCCCTGGGGAATGATGGCACCAATGTAGACCTAATAAAATTAGACAGATTGTTTTAGAGTTAAGACAGAAAGTCTATCTGCTAATAAATCACATAAATACAGTCCATGAATATAAATATTCAGTAATGTGGTTACAGAAGTATGAGAGACTCACTGGTTGTTCTGCACCTTCTCCTCCAAGCACACGGAAGCCAAAGCCTGTCTCCTGATCTCTCTTGATGAACACGTCCAACTCTTTATAGTGAGGTACTGTATAAAAATAGACAGAATTACACGGAAGTACAATATATAATTTGAAAAACATGGAATTAACCACATTCATCTATTCAACACAAAAATGCAAAACCAAAAATAAATGCAAAAGTATTTGCCATGCACATGGCCTTTTCTGTGTCTCTGCATTCAGATAATAAATTAAAAGGATAGTTTTCTCAAATATGTCATTTGAAAACCATATGATATTTTTTTTACGTGACGCTCATATTAAACAGCTGCTCTTTTCCATGCAATAATAGTGGCTGGTGATTCAGGCTGTAAAGCTCCAAAGGGAAAAAGTACTATAAAATACTCCATTCAAACTATATTCAAAGTCTCCCAAAGCCATTCAACAACGTTTTAACAAATTGATATTAACTGAAAATCTTCTGCTCATAAATCTCATTCAAAGTTCCACACACTTAAACCAAATTGTGGAATATATGCAAGAACAAGACATTTGCCCACAGCTCTCATTATATTGACTCCAGTGTGCCGTTTTCTCATGTATTATGATTTGAATGTGAAAAAAAAGATTACAAAAAACCCTGTTCTGTATATGTATTTTAAATAAATTATTTAAATAAAATAAGCTAAATTAAAATAGAATGTAATTTTATATTTCATAATTGTGACTTTATATCACATAATTGCAAATTTGTATCTTTGTATCTCACAACGGTATCATATATAGTTACATCAGACATAACTGTGACCTTTATATATATATATATATATATATATAAATCGCACCCACAATAAAAGTTTGTGTTTCCATTATATATGTGTGTGTACTATTTCTATTTATTATGTATATATAAATACACACACATACATGTATATATAAAAAAAATTATATACATCTATATATATATAATTGATGTAATATAAATATAATAAAAATGATATTTTATATATAAATACAACACATTTTTCTTAAATATATATATACATATGCATGTGTATTTATATATACATAATAAATATAAACAGTACACACATATATTATGTAAACACAAAGTGATTAATCATTTGACAGCAGTAATATATAATCTTATTTTTATATATCTAATTATAATAAAACATAAGGCAATTACTTCAATTACGTATAGTTTATACATACAGTTTTTTTACTTTAAACTTTATTACACTATTACATTATTTTTTACTGAGGCGAAAATACTCTTCCATAATTTAAATAGATAATGCAAAAGAAATATCTGATACAGGATATAGCATTCAGACAAATGTTCAAATCCAACAGATCCACATCTTGGTGCAGTAACATAAAAGAGTTTCCTTCTTGCTGGATGAGCTCAGCAGAGACTCACCTGTGCTCTCCGGCAAGGCTTTGGGTTTGCTGTAGTGCAGGGAAGCGTCTTGTTTTGGAGAGCTGCATGGCAGTGTGTTTGAGTGATAGGTCAAAGCCTGGGGAACCATGGTGTCATGGCAACGGTCCAGAGTTTCAGTGCTGGCACTCAACCCCGGTCTCTGTTGGAATAAAATGTGTTTTAATATCACTTCACAAAGTGACCAGCAGAGTGCACACAGATGTGGACTATAACAAGCAGCATTTAAACTATTCACTGGGCATATCCTCTGAGAAAATAAATCGGGATCGGGCCTTCTGGTTTACAGGAAAATTCCCACACTTCATACGCAAGTGTGCGCAAGAGTGATACAGAATGGAATATTTAAAAGTCTATCAGTAATTCCATTGGAAAATGAAGCCCAACACACTCATACAATTCATGTTTTTGCCATTTTGCCTCGTGTTTTTTTACTGGTCTTTCGAAGCATTTATTGTAGTAATTGTGAGTGATGTCCATACAACACTCACCAGTTTGATACTAGAGTGCTTACAGGCCAGGGTCAAAAGGGCCTAATTATAATTCTCAATGATATTCTGATCCCTCAAAACCCTTCTTCAATATAAGTATATGGGATTGTTTTTGCCCGTTTCATCATTCTCAAGTGAAAATCGTACATCCTATCACTTCAAAAGTAGTACACGCCACACGATTCAGTACAAATGGCGTGGGACGTGTCAGCTACCGAACTTTGGTACTTACAGAAAGGGGTTTGTTCAAATCTCAAACCCCAAGTACGAACAATAATTGAGAAGAAACTTCATCAGCACAAAATAAAATATTCAGCCATTTCCTCAGTTCTACAAGGTCATTATCACCTCTGAAATCTATTATCATACTCACAGGTCTTAAACTCTTCACAGGCGACGTCTGACCTAGAAATAGAGAAAAGGCAAATGAGAGACATAAGTAGCACGGAAGGAGGAAAAAATGGGGGAACAGGCACTCATCAACAGACAGATGAAAAAAACAAGAACTCGTTACTGGGATAAAAAAGTTTCTAGCCTTATTATAATGGCAGCGTTTCATGGTTGTTGCCTCTCGAATATGAAAAAGGCATGAGAATACATTGTTTCAATGCTACATTATTAATTCCCATCCATCTAACTAAAAAGCTACTCAAAGAGGAAGCGCCATTCAAGTGCTTAAAAGTGGGGCGTTTCCTGAGCCAATACCGAGCTGAGTTAATCATGACACATCATCTAGGAGACATTAAAGATGGATAGAATAAATGTACATAAGAGAAAATTATGAATCCTCCAGGGAGAAAGACATTGCAAATGACAGAAGTCATGCATAAAATAATGACGTTGCTACACTTCCATCTGTCAATTCAGAACGACCACAATTTATTCATTACCTTTGGTTTTTTTCTCTTTGTCTTTCTCTGGATTGGTGTGATTTCTATTGAATTTAATGGCTAAACAACAAATGACGAAACTCACTCAGCCTTTGAGGGCTAACAGAACTGATTAAAGCATTATCTTGCTCTCTTTCTTCATCTTTTTTCCCCCTCCCTCTCGCTCTTCAGACAATAAATCATCACAGAACTCTTTGCAGACACATCCTGAAATTCCCCTGTGATCTAAACTCATTTCCCAAATTCCCAGCCAGCCCCAAAGAGTGGGTGCAAAAGATGCAACGGGGCTTCTCCTGCCAACTGTACAAGGATCAACCGTCCATCATTCTTACATAACATTCTCCTAAGGGGACAGAAACACACCTCAAGTATGATCGGTGAGAGTGGAGGAAAGGAGTGTGGCTAAAATGTAAACTTATTAAGTGGGGAAAATATCGCAATTGATTTCTCACCTGCTGAACAATGCAGATATAACAAAAAAATGAGTGAAAAAAGTGAAGAGCTTTTGTGTAATTCCCTGCTGAAAATTCTAATTTTGAAAAATGTCCTCTGCTACACTGCATATTCATTTTCTTACTCAGTATTTTGTCTTGATTTCCAGTGCAAATACCTAAACATATTTAAATAAAAATATATTACTTGAGATGCAAAAATGACATTAGATGCTAAATGTTGTTTTCTGAGAAACATTTCAAAATTAAGATTAAAATGAAGTAATTTTTTGTAATACTGCGGGCATTATTTTTTTATTATTAA